TGAGGGGCCGGTTGGGTTTCCAGGGTTTTCCCGCTGCTGCTGGCTCTGGCACGGCCCTCACCGCCGCCCCAGGCCTCGGGCGGTACCTGCGGGAAGGGGGGTGCCAGAACCGGAGCCTTGGCCGGGGCGCATCCGGCCCGGGAAGGACAGAGCCAAGCGGAGGCCTTGCCTTGAGGTGTGGTGGGGGTCGCTCAGGGCTTTGGGCTCCTGGGTTGTTGCCCAGCCCACTTGTACTAAATGGAAAGCACGTTCGCAAGTAAAGAAAGCATGCTGGTCTCCTGGAGATCGACCCGTGAACCGTTCCGTACAGAGCCTCAGGTATCTGTGTGCCAGGAGGCTGGGTGAACAGTTGGACAGGAGAAAGTGACCTCCATCTGCTCAGGATGGGCCAGTGACGTTCCTCCAGCTCTTTTCTTGCAGAGATCTTGCTGGTGCCAGACCGATGCCCACAGTCTCTGCCAGTGTTTCTGTCACCTCTGCTGGGGTCCTCGCAGAACTGACAGTTCTGGGGAAGCATCTGTTTTCACAGGAGGGCTCTGCTGTGTGTTCACATCACGGGTGTAAGGCCCCTTCTGCAGAGTGAAAATCTGAGGAGTTCCTGCACAGATTGTGTCAGAGGTTCTCGTGCAACCTTAAGGTCCATCAGGATGTCGCTGTCAGTAACAGCTTTATTATTTGTACAGCCCTTGTTACTTGTCTTTGCTTTCTTTGCAAACTCTAGAGCAATGACCGATGGATGAAAACAGTGCCCCTGTTGCTGGTGTGCTCCTCCACCACATGCCTCACCTTCCTTGGAATCAAACTGGAACTTCTTAGGTGGAGTTGAAGTGTGAATTGCTTTCTTCTTCTGCAGAGCCGGTGTGTTACAGTGATCAGCAGCTTTTTGGACACAGGCTGTTATTCTTTTACTACCTTTGGCCACCTGTAACGGTCCACAACAGTTCCTGGGCACCATAATCCTTGGCTGTAATATTTAATTTTTGAGACCTCTGCCTCCTGTGTTCCCTGACTGCTTCTATGTGGAATTGAATTGGATCCTGTAGGAATCGTCAGATTTTTGATTGCAGTGGGTCACATAAATGTGCTCCTTTCTGTGACTGCAGGATGGGACTTCAAACGCAGCATGGAATTCAGCAAAAAATGGAAATGTTTTGTGGCCACAAAAAGGAATGGCAGCTAGCAACGAGATTAAAGACCTTTAAGTGCTTCTGTTTGAAAATTTAAGTACAGAATGATGTTGCAGGCATTGATTATTTCATCTCTCTAAAAAGGAGATTGATTTGTATATTCTGATGTGTGAGATGCCTGTTTCATTCCCGTTTTCACTTCCAGATAGCAGCCCTGCCTTTCGGTGTGTCTGTGGGAGGGTCCTCAGAAAAGCATTCCTTCCCATGTTTGATCACTGGAGATACCAATGCACAAGGGTTTTCCTTTTCTGAAAGACTGGCTTGTAAAAGGTTTCTTATGATTTGTGTAACTAATTTGGTGAGACTTGTTTGAAGGTTTTAGACTCGCTGGGTCCTAGAGTAAATCTGTAGAAATCGTACCTAATTCTAAGCTGGTGTTGGTTTTTCTTTCTCAGAGCCATTACCACACTCTGCTGAATCTAGTTTTCATCTCAGCCACTCGTGCTAGCTGTGACTTTTGTGTATTTGGTGACCCTCCATGGATTCCTTGACCTTGCCTCGTCTCCCTTGACTGCTTGCAAATGGCCCATGTCCACAGTCTCCCGTGGCCAGGCATTGCACAGCTTACCAAAGTCTGGTGTGAGGAACTGCCTCCTCGTTGATCCTGATTTCTCTGAGATCCATTTGATTTGCTCTTGTATTATAAGAGTCAGTGACAAATTGGGTTTTCTCCATCCTAAGCCCCTCATGACTTTATTCCCTTCTATGACATCTGTGACATCTTTTCCAGACTGAGAAATCTTTGCTTGCTGGGGTATTCCATATGTAGAAGATGCTTTTGCTCACCTTGGTCTGTGTCATTTCCAGTTCTGATTTTTTTTTTTTTCCCCCTTAGAGAAGTATCAGAGACGCATGCAGAGCTCCAGAGAGCAGTGCTCTGGGGACGTTTGCCGTGGCACAGTGCTGTTTTTTTCCAATTGTCTGTTCAGTGTTAGTAGACTGTTAATTACAGCTGCCTCTCTCCTCAGCTGTGGCCTCATTCCCATACAGCGGGTTTTCAGATTGCTTCCCCAGGGCGGCCTAGGCTGGAATGTCTCATCTACCAGCGCCTGAGTGTGTCTGCAGGGGGTACAGATTGCTACCCCTCCTCAAAAGCTTTTGCTGAACCTCCCGGTGCAGCTTTTCCAGCATTAACTCCAGTTCTGCAGAATAAGAGGCTGTGGATGCCTCTCAGGTGCGGGAAGAGAAGCCAGCCCTTGGATCAGCGCCGCTCTCTGCAGAGCCTGCTGGCTGCGGGATTTGGGGTGGTCTCCAGCCCTGCTGGGCCCTGGAACTGTGCAAACCATGTCTTCAGACCCCGCAAGCGTGGCTGCCTGGGTGGAAGTCGTTGCTGCGGCTGCTTTGGCCAATTCTTGATTTGCTGTGGTGCTGGGGGTGAGCTCTCGGATCAGCAGGAGTTGGTCTCCACGGCAGTAAATCAGTAGCTTTTGTGGGTTTGTGCCGATAGCCTCTGGTGATGCTGACACAGCAGTACCGTTATGCTTTGGGAATAAGTGAGTTGACCACGTCTGTGCAATCTGGTGTGAGCAGGCACACACCTTGTCTCTATTGCACCGTGCTTAGTTTGTGTCTGTTCAAAAGAAGATGATGCTCTTTGTACTGCAAGCAGCTGTTCTTCTTCCAGCCTGCAAGCTGCCAAATATATATGTGTGGGGACTTCAACAGTTCTACCTACTGTCCATCCAGTTGCAAGATTTTATTTTTGTTTGGGTCATTTATAGACAACAAGCCTGAACATAAGCCATCCTTCCTGCCAGTTAGTTACCCTTTTATGTCAAATAGTAAATATTTTCAAGATCCTTTTGATACCATCCTTATTTGAGTGTTCTGCTAAATGTCGGGTAAAAAGGAGTTAATTCTAATTCAAACGAAATTTGTTCACCTTTGTAAAGAAAGGTGAGGACTGCATTGCTGTAAACCTAACATCACACAGAATAAGGAGAAACCATTCCGACTTAATTCAGTAAATGTTTCATAAAGTGTTTTATAGCATCTGTAAACATGTGTTTTGCACAATAAATATTCACCAGTGCTGCTGTTCCTGTTTCCTGGGTTAGTGTGTATACAACAAAAATATGTGAAAATTCGGTCAGGGCTGCCGTTTTGTTCTGCTGCTCAGTGTAGGCTCAGTGTAGGTAGTTCGACTTGCGTGCTAGAGCTTCTCGGTGCTGCGTTGGGATTTGCTTTCACACATTGTAACTTAGCACAAGTATTTTAGGATGGGGAGATGAGTAAACATCTTTTTCCAAAATGGACTGTGATGTCGTTGCTTGTGGGGATTTTCTTCCAAAGGTGTTGGTCTGGTGTTGGTACCAGTTCTGGTTTTAAATGTGGTCTTTGCTTCTTCATAATAAGCTTCTAAAGAAAACTGAATTTGTAGTGTTTATAAAATTAAGAAACCTTTTTCTTTCTAAAAAAAAAAAAATGGTTAAGAGAAGGTCAGCAGTGGGTGTAGTGGATAAGAACTCAAAAAGGCACAGCACAAAAGCCAGATCGTAGTTTGCTGCAGCAGCATCACAGATTGAGGAGGCTTCTGACACCTCTCCTGAAAGCTAGCGCTCAGGTGAATGCCAAAGGCAGTTCAGCTGGTTGTGGCCAGAAGCAGTTTCAAGACAAATCGGCAAGTAGGGATCGGAAGGGATTAATTTGCCAGGAAATACTTAAAAGAACAAAAGAAGAGTGACTTAACCAAATGTTTGTGTGTAGGGAGGTTTATAATGGTGCACAATACCTTGCGTTCCTGGAGATGAAATGTCATGGGCAGATATATTTTTAACTGGTCTCGAGTTAAGTAAAACCTTCAACTACCCACAGTGGACATAGAGGAATGCCCTTTTCCTTTCTGAAAGCAGTTTTTTATGTATTTAAACACTAATGTTATGTCTCTTTGTAGCTTTCTCCCCAGGCTAAACAAGCTCAGGGAATCCAGGCTTTCCCTGCAGGAGGTATTTTCTAGTTGTTCTCTGGAGCAGCTTAACTATTTGCTATACATTTGGTTAGCTCCAAGTGGTTGTTTTCAGTTTGTGTATTTAATTTGGAAGAAAAATTTAGATGCCTGAAAGCTTGCCTATTATTTCCAGCTATCTCAGTCAGTCTAAGAAAATATATTACCTCATCTCACAAACCTTTATCTCATTTAGAGACTCACATCATCACCATTACAGCAACGCTGCTTTTACTGCCAGAGCAACAGATTCTGATGTCCTTGTCCCCTTCCTGTCGCTCCCAGTTTGTGCCTCGCCATCTCTGGTTTGTCCCGGCGTGCTCGTCTGTGTTTCTGTACGTGTGTCCTGAGTTTTGAAGCTCGGGAGATGCTCGTGAAAGCTTGCCCAGCTGCTTTCTTACCATTCTGGTGCAATAGAATTGTTGGACTTGTCCCTCAATCCTATTTCTCTACAGATTGCAAGGTTTTGAGCGTTTGTTTTTTTCATTAGGGTCTTTGACAATTGAAGGGTAGAAGCTGGCATCCAGGCAAGATGCATTTAATGTCAAAATGTGCCTTTTGTTGAGACTGACTTGTAACATCTCACCTTTTAGGAACTGTGGATGAAACGGAAAGCTGAGGAGCTGAACGTTTTCTCCAAGGCCTACGTGTAGACCCTGATGCTTGAATGAATGCAGAATGAAAATGCTTCCTGGAGTGGGTGTGTTTGGAACTGGCAGCACCGCCCGAGTACTGGTACCCTTGCTGAGAGCAGAAGGCTTCTCCATTGAAGCGCTTTGGGGGAAGACTGAAGAGGAAGCCAAACAGCTGGCAGAGGAAATGAACATCTCCTTCTACACAAGTCGGACTGACGATGTCTTGCTGCACCAGGACGTAGACTTGGTTTGCATCAGCATCCCTCCACCGCTAACTCGGCAAATTGCTGTGAAGGCTCTAGGTACCTTTTTCTCTTTGGACTTGGGCCAAAAATCCATAGCTTGTTGGCAGATTGAAATTTGAAGCCATTATCCTGGCACAATTCTGGTCGCACCAATGTGCAAATGCAATGCTAAAGGTGTTTTGTGGAACTGGTCGTGCCACCTGCGAGAAAGGTTACCTAGAATTTTTTGTAAAAATAGTATTTATCATTGCTTATAGCTTTGCAAATCTTGATCCAATTGGGCTAAGATATCCCATATCTTCTTCAGCCTGAACTTACAGTGGGGAGGTTTTAACAAAAATGAGCTGTTTCTGAGATGATGATGAGGGTGGAAAATGTTTTTATGCCCATTTAAAAAACAAAACGAAACAAAAAACCAATTTAAGCTGCTTAATTAATTTTGAATCTTCCCACATTCTGCAATAGGAAACCGGGGTTGGGGGGGTTGTTCAGCTCTCTTTTCTGTTTTCCCCACAAATAAAACCAAACCTGAAAGTTAAAAGCCTTTGAAAAAAATGTTTGCACGCACTCAGTAGAATCTTGTGAGTTAGCACCTAAACTCTCTGCAGATGATGCTTTTGGGCAGCGTGCTGTCACCCTGGCCACCACCTGGAGCTCTCTTTGGACTTCCATAGCAGGATGGTGTGGTCCTGGGTGCAGAATTGTTGGAGGAACCCTTCCATCTGAGGCAGGAGGGCAGATCCTGGGGAGGAGGAGATGTTGGGGACAGCAGGAGGAATCCAGCAAGGTGGGCTGGGTGGAGGTGGCTGGGAGAGAAGGGACGACACCCAGAACTGGTTGGGCAGGGAGGTAGGAGCCAGCTGCCCAGGCATCCTGACATTTCTTAACTCTCCAGCCTGTGACTTTGTAGTGTTAATAACTTCTCCCTAGTACAGGATGGGTGTGAGTTTGTGTGTAATTCTGCAAATAAGTGTGATATTTTTTACTGTGTTTACAGGAGATCCACCTGAGTTAATTTTAGGACAGGTAATACCGCAAACCATGTGAGCCAGGGTGGTTTGTTGTTCTTGGCTTCTTTACTCTAAGGTAATTTGTTTTTGGAAGTAAACAACTCCCTGCACAAACATTTGCAATGCTATTTAGATATGTAGAGAGATATTCAGGGTTTTTTTTTCTTTCTTTCTTCTTCACATTGTTAGATTTGTTTGTTTACCTTGTTAGCGTACTGCCCTTTGAATTTAAGGTATGCTGATTTTTGAATATTTGAACTGTAAGTTAGAATTTATCTTGTTAAATATACTAGAAGTTCTTTTAAACACTTGTTGGGTAATAAGCGTTTCACTAGTTCTCATGGCTCTTGATGATCAAGTGGGCTAAAAGGAGAGGATTGAACCTTCTCTGGTGAATTATTAACTAAAATGGATTGAGATCCCTTCTTCAAAGGCTGGCAACCTTTAAAATCACATTATCTGGAGGAGGAAAGGGGGATAAAGCTGGTGCAGGAGTACAAAGGTGCTATGTGTGCTTGACTGCAAGTATAGATAAGTGGAAAGCTGAAAAAGCCGGAGGAACGAATGGATGAAGGACTAAAGGGTACTTTATTCTTCACTTCTGTCTGTCCTGAAATGCTCTGGTCTGTAAAGCGATGCGGGCATCTCAGACCCAGCATGATGCTGACCTTGGCTTTCAGCTTGCTAGGTTCGTCGCGATGGTATTTGTAGATCTGCTGCCAAGTATGTTGTGACGTGTTTGAAGCCAGTGTTGGATGGCTCGCTATGGCTGGGCATTCTGAAGGAACGCGAAATGCGGGTAGGGCCAAAAATGGCAAGTATGTTTCCTCTGGAAGTTCAGATTGATATAGGGATGTTTATAATTGGAGAATTACTGGCTGTGAATTGTATCTAATAGATTGGTGTTTACTAGCTGAGGAAACACGCTTTAGGAAACATCAGATGTGGTATAGTGATAATGATCTTGTGTGGTTTCTTTTGTTGGGGTTTTTGTTTGTTTGTTTTTAAAGTGCTTAAACTTTTAATACTTATTTGTATACTTTCTTACACTTTCATTTTTAATTTTTTTTTTAATGTGCTTACATTTGTAATTCTGGCAGAGAGGGGGGAGAGAGAGGGAGAGAGACACCCAGTTTTTCCAGGCAGTGCAATTTGCTGGCATGAGTTTCTTACTGACAGACATCCATAAACAAGCCTAGGTACAACTTTGGTATGGCAGGGACAAAGCACCAACACTGAATCGAGTTCATGAACCAGACAGAGCAGATCAAAGCCCAGAGGATAATTCAAATTAAGATCAGTGTAATCTTATGGTTTATCTCCACAACAGGCAAAGCAAGAAGCTATCCTGAAGTATGTGCTTCTTTTGATCTCAGAGGAACTAAATTAATTTCTCAAAAAGTCTGTGTTGTGGTTCGTGGCCCACAGTTCAAATGCCTCCACCTTTGCATTTGCAGAGCCCAGAGTGGAGTTACCAGCTGGAGTGGAATGTAGAACATGGGATGTTTGTGTTTGAGGTGGAGTTCGGGGAGGCAGAACATGCAAAATCCTCAGAGGAAATTCTCTTCAGGATGCTAAAAGAAAATGCTGCTGCAGGTTCTGAGCCCAGCCATCAAACAGATGGCTTCTGGAGTGGCTACAGAGGAACCTTTTACTTGTCCCTCTTGGTTTGTACTGGTTGACTACATAGTTTAAGATGTCTTTGCAACATAGATTGTTTGACCCCCTGATTTTGTGGAGTCCCTACAAATTATAGCACATCTATGTTAATTATGAAGGAAGGGATCAGAAAGGGCTCTGTCACTGCTTTGTGCTGTGACAAATCCAGATTTACTGCTCTTGAAACAGGATGAACAAGCATGCTCTGAGTGCTCTTTGCATATTGTGCTCCCTGTCTCTGTAACGAGTAGCGCGGAGGTCTTTTCAAACCACAGGCAAACAAGAAATGAAATGAAGGAGTGTTTTGGAATGAGTGTTCGTTCATTGAGAGGCTCCCAAAGCAAGCACATCTGAAACAGCCGGTTATTTGGGAAGACTCCTCAGACACTTCCAACTTCTTGTGCTGGACAAAGGAATGGTCTGGTGTGCTTCAACAGTGGCCACTTGTCCACCTTCCTAGGTGCAACCTCAGGTATCTGACGTTATCCAGGGAAGTAGAGAACTGGAGCTTCAGTTCAGTGAACATATTTACGTGGGATAAATAGATGTAGTAGTTTGAGTCAACATTCTAACTTGTCCAGGGAGAGGCGAGGCTGGGGCCTTTAGCTGTTGATGGAAAGTGTTAGATGGGCAGCTGTGGCTATGATAGCCAGGCAAAGAAACAACCAACAGGGTCAAGCAGTATCTGTCACAGTGAGAAGGCTGTCCCAGCCCAGCCCCGCTCCTCACACTGCCTGAGCAGGCTGTGTGGCACACGGCTGGTCCTCTCTGTGCTGCAGGGGTGCTTCTCAGCACAGGCGCCCCTGTGTGTCCCACCAGGACAGGAAGACCTCTTGCTGTCAGGAGCCCTGGTGGGCTGCCTCCTGTTCCAGGCTACTCAGTGGGCCCCCCTGGGACTGGAGTGGTGGGCCAAGGGTGGTCTGTGTCCTTCTCGTGGCCTGCTGGTTTGCACCCAGTTTGAGACAGAGAAGCAGCCCTGGCTCACATGCGCGTTGATTGCAGAGACAGCCATCTCTCTAAGGTTTCGGCTGCACTTCTCCTGTCTTTTCATGAATGCTCCCCCTCCCAAGGCTCCACCAGGCTGCAAGGTCCCTTCTCCTTCCTCCTGCCCCATGCTGGCACCCTCCCTGCCAGGAGGAGGGAGCGGGTTGGGGGATCCTGACAATTGCTGGGACCTGTTTCCATCCCCTGTCACAGCTCTGGGTAGTGTCTACCAGGTAGCATGGGAAAACAGCAAGTTTTCTGTGCTTGCATTTTATTAACCAGAGCTGTAACATACTTCAGCATGTACAGCAAATTTTGGATGTTGCGTGGCTAAGCAGCTGCAGGAGAAGCTGAGGCCTCATTGCTGATGGACAGTGTGGATCTGTGGAGAAAATCTAGTTTATTCTGATGCATAATCAGTCTCTTGGTTTTTGATTGCTTCCGTAGGATATGTACACTTTACATCAGGTATTGAGTGAAGCCATGGTTTGGCTCTATAACATTAATGAGAGTTAAGAGACCTCTTTTTAAATGTTTAATTTATTTACTAAATCAGGAATTGGTTTGAAAATTTGTGGAATATAGCAGCTGCTTTTGCCCCTGAACGGGGGGAGGGGGGGTAGATGATTTGTTAAGGATTTCTGGCAATTATGACTTTTTTTTCTCATTTCTTTCCCAGCTAAAAAGCCATAAAGAATGGTTCCTCCTGTGTGCAGAGCTAGTAATGACTGTTGCAAAGGGTGCACCTGCCTGGAAACCCACCTGTGGAGAGGTGGTTTCTTGTGCCCTGGGAGCAGAGCAGCAGTTGGTTTGAGGTCAGGTCTTATTGCTTGTTGGGTGCTTTGACGGGGGGTGTGTAAGTCAGCCTGTGCGCCCGCTGTGCACGCAGGGCTGTATGGCCTCTCCTGACACGGTCTCCAGGCCAGCGCTCAGCACTGCCTTGCTGGGGGATGTTGAAGCCTGAATCCATTCAGGGCTAATTACAGTCATGAGTAATGTAAGAGCTGGTGGAGAGCTACAAACCTTCCCACTGCTTCACTGGTTGCATTAGGTATGTTGTTTCACGTTCAGCAATAACGAACGCAGCACTGAGAGCAAGAAGTGCTTCCTGAGGAGCCATCACTGCAGCTTACAGAGCCCACGGGGGCTTAGAGCTGGTAACTGCAGGGTGAGCTGGCAGAGAAATGTCTATCTTCCAGGATGTGACAAAGCACTGGCTGTCGTGAGGCTGGGCAGACAGCCTGCTTCCTGGATAAGGGCAAAATGAGGTAAGTTCTAGGGCGAAAGATTGAGTCTTTCTTTCTCTAGTGTTCTTGGAGGACTTCAGTGAGGTGATGGTCTGCAGACGCTGCTGGGGTTTGCTCCAGGGTGTGCACAGAGAAGACCCTGAGGCACGTTGCTAGGCCAGCCTGCAGTGAGCTTCATTGTGGGCAGCAGAGCTGTTGCTGTTCTTGCTCTCTGCTTCTGAGATGGGGAAACCCAACTCCACAGCCCCATCTCCTTCCCAGGTGTGCAGCTCCTTCTGTGGGCTTTAAACCCACCTGTAAGCTGATTTAACCTGCCTGCTCAGAAAGAAGCAGCTTCCTTTTCTAAACTGGGCTCAGTCGGTGAGCTGAACTGACTTGCAGAGGGCTCCGAGGAGCACCAGAGCCCCGTGGTGGTTCTCATGTCTTCTTGTAGCTGGTGCGAACCTCAACAGAAAATTTTGCAGCAGTGATTTAAGAAAACATTATGGTACAAAGTTCAGATTATTCATTATCAAAATAACAGTAACAAGACAAGGACTGTTAAGTTGTTTTGCCTCTGGAAACAGAAAGCATGGCCGTTACCTTGGTAAGGGCCCTTGTAGCCATCTCTGACCTGGTCCTTGCTGCACGACACGACCGTCTCTCTGAGCTTGGGGACAGCTGGGTCAATGTCCTATTGAGGGCAACCGCAGGATTATCCCAGAGATGTTATTGTGTACCCAGGCTTCCTGGCACTCCGGCAGCGCTCGATGGGCTGTGCCAAGCTGTTGGTGCACTGCGCGACTGCCCTCCCAAAAAAAGCCATCAGTCCATTCGAGCTCCTGAAGTGGCTCAGCTGACACTGGCAAGAAGAGCACGGTGCTGATGCAAAGATGAGGTGGGCAGGTGGGTGGCAGAACAAGGGCAGGCCAGTGTGATGGACCGCCCAGCGTGGAACCGCTGTCCCCAGGCGGCAGGGCAGTCCCCTTTGGCTCAGCCTTCTCAGCTCTCGGTTCCCCACAGCAGGGACCCAGCCCCTTCTGCGTGGACGCTGTCAGGCTCCTTGAAGAGCCAACTCAGGGCAATAACCTGCCAGGAAAATGAGCCAACAGGAGTGAATATTTCCATGTTGAGTTTTGTAGCCTGAGCCAGCTCCTGAACTGCCCAATTCGTGGTGGCCGTGCAGCGGGGTGAGCAGCACCAGCAGAGCACTGACTGCAGAGCTGTACCCCGTGTGTATGCGGATCGTGAGTTGCTTTTATTTTCTGCAAACTTTGAGAACTATGGTCTGCTTCGGATGCTGTGAAGATCCTTTTACTTTTTCTCTTTGCTTTTTTTTTACCTGGCTTGAGAGAAGCATCGTTTAAACAAGAAGGCAGGTAAACCAGGCACCGAAGCATCTCAAGATGCAGGATATCAAACAGAACGTTGTGCCTTGTCTCAGCAGCAGGACTGGGGACAGGAGAGTCAGAAATGGTCCCTGATGCAGGGGGTTACCAGTGGGCAGCCCAGACATCCCCAGGGAGTTTGACCTTACCCTTTGTTCATGAAACCTTCTGTTGACTCACATCTATTTAGGGAATTTCTTTGGAAGAGACTACCAAAAATTATAGTCTTGTTGTTTTCTGACTGGATTTTGCTTGTGTCTATTAGAATTACAGGGTGCAGAGTTTTCTTTAGCTGTAGTTGTCCCCTGGCTGAGGAGCTCACCAGCCCCTGGGCCATAGATGGTTTGGAAAGGCTTGGAGAGCTGCAAGTGGGAGCTGCAGTGCAGGATCTGGCTTCCCCTTGTGTGAGAGACCAACGGAAGCGCTTGTGCTGGTATCTTCTCATCAGGGAGTCGATTAAAAGCTGGTCTGAGCAGGGAGCACAGTCTACTCCTGGCTATGGAACAGTTTTTTGAGAGCTGCCTACCGCCATGTGCAGCAATTCTTAGGCAGAAACTGTGGACTGACCTTCAGGTCTGACATTACCAGTTAATGTCTGGAGACTTCTAGGCATCCCCCTGGTTGTTACATTGAAAAATGTTTAGATAAGTATTTTATCAGAACAGATGTATGTGGAAAAGTTAATCCATCCCATGAGAAAAGAGTGAAGATGGGGGAGGAAGAGGGAATACTAGCAGAGCACCAAGTGTAGGAATTTGGTTGAAGTTGCACTGGGATGCTCTTTTGTATTCCCTTATTTCTGTTTTAGGAGTTATTGACTGCCCACATTGATTCAGGCTGAGCACAAGATGAAGTGCCTCAGGAGGAGTAACAATGCAGTGGGTCAGCTTGCGAGTGCAGCTCTCATCTGTGTAAGTCAGTCACCTTTACAGTCTAATTGTACAAGTAGGCCCTATATCCAGACAAAAATGTTTTGCTTTCCAATTAGCAATGCTTTTAAAACAACCCACCTACCAAAACATTGTTTCTAATTCTTGTGTTCTATGCACAGGCCATTAAGTATCTTGTCTGTCCTGTTTCTATTAATCTATTAATCTGGGGGTGTTTAGTCTGGAGAAGAGGCTGAGAGGAGACCTCATCACTCTCTACAACTGCCTGAAAGGAGGGTGCAGTGAGGTGGGTGCTGGGCTCTGCTCTAAAGGAACAAGTGATGGGACAAGAGGAAACGGCCTCAAGTTGCGCCAGGGGAGGTTCAGGCTGGATATTAGAAAAAATTTATTCACTGCAAGCATGATCAGGCATTGGAACAGGCTGCCCAGGGCAGTGGTGGAGTCACCATCCCTGGAGGGGGTCAAGAAACGTGTAGATGTGGTGCTTCGGGACATGGGTTAGTGGGTTGGGTGGTGTTGGGTTGACGGCTGGACTTGATGATCCTTGAGGTCTTTTCCAGCCTTAATGATTCTATGATTCTATTTAAAATAATAAGTTCATAGTGATGGTGAAATACAAAGTCAAATCTCCCCTTCACTCGCCTCTTCCCTGCAGGGTACGTGATGGTTTTTTTTGTCTGGCTGTATAAGCATTCAAATAATTTTGTAGCTACAATGTGCAAATTGTGTCTTGCTTTGATGCCATGTGATGCCATTTGGCCATTTATCTTTCATGATATAAGAATCCTTTCTTGATTTGGAGCCTCTCTCTGTGGGATTTTGTCAGCTCTGCACCTGGAACATCTTGGAAGCAGCTTGGAGCCTTGCTGCACTAGGCGTTCCTATTTTAGTTCCTAGACCTTTGCCTTTGAAATAGCAGCAGGAAAGCCTGACTCTTAAAAACACCACTTCTTGAGAACCTTTGGGGCATCTGAGCATGTTCCTCTCATGTGTGCTAATTTTTTTTTTATTTGTGCTGCAGGAATAGGGAAGAATGTGATCTGTGAGAAAGCTGCTACCTCTGTGGATGCCTTCAGGATGGTCACAGCTGCCAGGTATTACCCCAAGCTGATGAGCATTGTTGGCAACGTTCTCCGTTTCTTGCCTGCCTTTGTGAAGATGAAGCAGTTGATAGAAGAACACTATGTGGGCAATGTGATGATCTGCGATGTACGAGTTTATGGGGGAAGCCTGCTCAGCCACAAGTACAACTGGATTTGTGATGAGCTGATGGGAGGAGGTGGTCTGCATACGATGGGAACCTACATCATCGACCTCCTAACTCACCTCATCAGCAGGAGAGCAGAGAAGGTCCATGGTTTACTCAAGACCTTTGTGAAACAGAACACAGCTATAAGTGGGATCCGCCACGTCACTAGCGATGACTTCTGCTTTTTCCAGATGCTCATGAGCGAGGGTATCTGTTGCACTGTGACTCTCAACTTCAACATGCCTGGATCGTTCATCCATGAAGTCATGATTGTTGGGTCTGCTGGGCGCCTCATAGCTCGCGGGACGGACTTGTATGGGCAGAAAAACACTGCGCTCCAAGAAGAACTGCTGTTTACAGACTCTCTGACTGTCAACAAGGGCCTTTTGGACAAGGGGTTTAAAGACATTCCGCTGCTTTACCTAAAAGGAATGGTGTACATGGTGCAAGCGCTGTGGCAGTCTTTCCAAGACCAGGAAGACCGTCGGACGTGGGATCATAAACCTGTCTCTATGGCAGCCTCTTTCGAAGATGGTCTGTACATGCAGAGTGTAGTAGAGGCCATCAAGAAATCCAGCAGGTCAGGGGAGTGGGAGGCTGTGGAGGTGATGATGGAGGAACCAGATGCCAATCAAAACCTCTGTGAGGCGCTTCAGAGAAATAACTTATGAACATTCCTGGTTTGGAAGATAGGACAATGAACACTTCTGGCTGTAATGTAAAAAACCTGTCTGTTTTTAAGATATGTAGATTCTTATTTAATAACCTGAGTTCCTTGGTTTTTTAAATGTGTAAAATATGTCATGTTCTGATAGAAACTGTTCTGATTTAAATTGTTTAAAGAGTTTTAAATGTTTCCATTTTTGCAAACGTTTAATTTTTGTCTTGGAGACTGGTAGGAAAACTTGAATTGCCCTTTGCACTTGCAGTACCTGAAGTGAAGCATGGGATCTCTGCCGTTGCATGGCTTGGAAATGGGACACAAGCCCTGATGCAAGGGTTGGTTATTTTAACAGTTTTAACACGAGACCATGTAGAGCAAAGATCAGAGAGTATCTGTTGTTCAGATGCCTTTTCCTTCTCTCTTTGAGACCTGATTAAGTTTTACTCCTGAGTTTTGTGAAACTTTATAAAAAGAGTTTAGTGATGTAACAGGTCTCTCAACTCCTATAGGACAAGAAGTAGAAGGAACAGATTAAAGTTTGTAACCTAAGGATCAGCCTTTTGGCTTCCTGCATATGGCAAATGTTTTTCAAATTCATTGAAACTGGTATTTTATTTAAATGATTCCAGGAATTCTCTGTTAACAGTGTCTTGGCAGGAAAATCTTGAGGACGTCTGTGATGATTTGTGCTGTTCTTGCCTATCTATAGACATTATTCCTTCTACTCAAGAGGCTGCCTGCATCCAGCAGCTTTTTTCCATAAGCTCTGTGTCCGTCAGTTGTGTTTACCGTCCGGCAGCACTGGTGTCGTGACTGTGGGGCCATGTTCTCATTTCTGTGACTGTTCCTAAATGCCTCCCAGGATCACGGGATTTCTGTGGTGTCATGGTTAATGAAGTTGTGCAGTGTTAACCTTCCGGGGACCTGAAGATGGAAGGAGGTATTTCCTACCTCTTGCAGTTCCCATAATGTGCTGGCTGGGTAATTATCACACTACATACATCCTGATAGTTGAGAGAATGGGGACTGAACTGCCATGGGTAAGTCTACTCTTGATCTCAAACACTGGATATTAACCCTCTGGCCCTGCCCGTCCTCACGCCCTCCTGCAGCTTGTGTCCAGTGGAGAGATCGGTTGGCAGATCAAGGGTGGAAGTTCATTCCGTTTGAGAAACGTTTCTCTCTGAGGCAGGTGTGCGGAAGGGATAGTCTGATTTTACCACATTTATTTTGTGTACTTGAAAGCTTTTTTTTTCAGTGTGTTTCCCACTAAATTGCAACCCTGTGTATTTATGTATATTAACATGCAAACTGCTGTTTAATAAGCTGGTCCTTCCTGAAAAGTATCTTGTTTTCTACAGAAATAAAAAGTTGTGTTTGTTGAGGGCATTCTTTATGCAGCTGTGTGTTTGTGTTTGATTTGCTCAAGCTGAACCCATCCTAATAAATGTGCAGAGGAGACTTACAGCAGGGGCTCAGGACCTCTTGAGTCCTTCCATGTTTCTGTGCTATCCTAGCAAGTGTCATCCATTTATCACCAAGGGAGTAAGTCCCACCAGAAGATCTATTTTCTACCTCTTTGCTGTTTCCCTCAGACTATAGCTGTTGAGTAGCTGGTTTTGGGGCTCCTCTTGCCTATCTTGGACTTACCATGTCAACTTTTGTGATTAACAGGATCTTCATTTTTCTGCCTGACTCATCGTAGAAATTGCTGGAAAACACCGACTAATAAACAAAACCTCCACAGTATCGATGACCACTCTCTTTGCTCAGTGTGTAAATCAGGTATTTACTTTGCCTTCAGGTATTTATTTACTTTCAGCACGTTAAAACTCGTGACAGAAACAAGTTCTGACATGCTGTTTTAAAGGGTAGGAGTGTGGCTGTTCCTGGGCTTTCTGCAAGCTCATCCCGGCTGCAAGCTGGATGAAGAAAGCAAGTGGTTGACATTTATTCGCTGTTCCCAGGTGGAGCAGTGAGAGCTGCATCTCTGCAAACTTTCCTTTACACATAGAGGACCCTTGAACTGAGAACCAAACAGTACGTTTGTACTGAGCAGAAATTCCTAAAGTACAACTACAGGAGTAGAAGAAAGCTTAAAACATCTCCCAGCGGAGGAAGGAGGGTGTCAAGACTCCTGGGTGAGCAGGAGGCCTGACTGCAGAAGTGTGCAGAGAGGTGAAATGGGCTTCTCGTAGGCCGGCTGCAGCCTCCACTGCCCTGCAGAGGCCGAGTGGGATGGGGGCCAAAGCAGCACTCCTTTGGATGAGGCAGATCCCTGTCCTGAAGTCCAGATTCCCCCATGCGAGCCCTGTTTGTCTAACGCAGATGTCGTGGAAACACCTGCTGGTTAGCGCTGCTCGTAGAGGAGGACCAGGCCACACTTGGTGGTCTGCCGGACTGCAAGGCAGTGCCACACCGTCCCCTCCCATGTCCCCTGCACTGGGGTGAGCTCCAGCAGCTGGTCTCACAGCTGGTCCCCAGCCTCCTGCTTTTGACACACAAGGAAGGAATGACAGCACATGCATCCTAAGGCCATGTGATGTGCAGCTATATTTTATAGTGAAAAATTACTTTCTTTTTTTTTTTGGTAAATCAGGTTCTCTGCAACAAGGAAAAAGCCAAACCAATAAACCCACAGCTGTTTGTATGGGCCAGGTGATGGTCACCACCCTCCAGGTCAGGCTGTAGTAGCCAAACAGGAGGCAGAAAGCTGCATGGCTATTGATACTGAGGAAAGAGGAGCTGCACCAGGTGAGCTGTGTATCTGAGTGTCCTATCAACTTGCATGGGTTCATCAACCGCTCCTGGGATCTCTGGAGTGCTGCTGGCCCAGGCATCTGCAAGAAGAGGGAGTGCATCAACAGCGCAGCCACCTCCTCGGAGACAGGCTGAGTGTTTGCAGAAGCAGGATGCCAGGCCCCAGGAGTGTGGGTGGAACGGCTGCTCTGGGTCTCCAGCCTGACCTCTTGCTTGGAGCAGGCCTGTCACCAGCTGAGGCTGGTCATGGCTTTGTCCCACCAAGTCTTGGAAAACAACTCTGGAACCTGGAGACTGTGGAGTCAACTGAAGAGTGCTGTCCTAAGGGGAAGGGTCCTGCTCTGTTGGGCTGGGCCACCTGAGAGCTTCCAGAGAAAACCTAAGGGCAGAGCTGCTGCAAAGGGTGACCCAGAGACATCCAAGCCATTTCTCTAAAAGCTAGGGCAGGGGTGGAAGAAACAAGATAAGGTGACAAGACCTGTGCAGGCAGTGCTGGTGGGATGAGCTATGGGGACCAGCAGGTCACTGGCAGGACAAGGCCAGCTTGCTGGGGAATACAGGAGCCGGGTAAACCTCCTTGGAACTCACTCTGCAGCCATGGAGCAGTTGCCCTCCTGGGGGCTGCAGGGACCTGACTTGGCTGTGGCAGCTCTGGGACTTCATCTTCTTCTGATGGGTGCATCAGCTCCAGCATGTCAACATTGATGTACTGGTACAAGGGTCGCAGGCGTGGCCGTTTTCCTGGAGAGGTACAAGAAAAGCCCAGCACTGACATCCTCTTTCCTGCCAGGGCTTTACTGTAGCTCACAGGCTGTAGCAGCCCTGGGAGGAGAGGAAGAATGTCACCCCTGCCAGGAGGGGAGCCAGGGACTGCAGGGGAGGCAGATGCTCTTGAGCTGAGGCTTCCCGGTGGGATAAAAGCCAGGAATGCATGGCCCCCTCCCAGAGACAAAACAGCAGCTGGAGGGAAGAGCCACGGCGAGCCTGCTTGGGCATCACAGTGCCCGTCTGAAACCTCACCAGTGGCAGAGCCCCTGTCATTACCCAACCCACAGGGACACTGACAGGTCTGGGAGAAGCAGAAGGGCTGAGGACCACCCTGTTCTGTGGATCCCGCCGCAGACCAGCATCATTCCCGAGACAGGCTGTGCCAGCCCAGCCCAGCTTGTGTGACTGCAGCCACCAGCTTTGCTCACCCAGCGTGTCCTGGGACATGGCCCTGCTGCGGGGGTGCAGGCTCCTTGCACGTCTCTTTCTCTTCCTTTTCTTCTGCTGCATGGCAGAGACGTCAGCATTGCCACCGAGGGCACCCGGCTCCTTGGCGGTGGGATGTGTCCTTTGGAAATCAGGGTGCTGCAATAGGAGCACTTGCGAGTTGACCCTGGGGGACAGAAACCACCTGTGGGGCACGGCCAGCTTGGGCTCTGGCTGCGGTGGGAGACGGAGCCCTGTGGCACCTTGCCACGTCTGAGCACAGCCCTTGCCCTTGGTCTGTGCCCAAGCGACGGCGCAGCTGTGCCTGGGACTGGCCGGCACCTCACTGCTCCTGCCCTGGCTGTGTTGGCTTTGCTCCCTGGCTGGACCTGGGTGTGGCTCGTGGTCACTCACTGTGGCTGATGGATGTTGTGGGGCTACTGCATTGCCTTAGGTGCTGTTTCCCTTCCCACCATGAGCCCTGTAACTCTTTAGGCTTCTCCCTTTCCCCTCCCTTCTCTAGTTTATCTGGCCTTTTAAACCCCAAGCAACTCTCAACAGTACTACAAACCGAGCTCCTCAGTTCTCAACAAAATAAAAACCAAAGCAGAACGATGCCCAGCCACAAATCCTGGATACTAATATACTAATATAACTTCCATCCCACGCCCATCCCTTCCTCCCAGCCTTGTTTCACCCTTGCACAATGCAGCTCACCCAGGGCAGACCCGGGCCTCGCTGACAGCTGCTCCTGGCAGGATGATCCCAGCTGCGTTGCAGCACAAAGCTGCCTCGTGAATGAGACAGGGTGACTTACTCTGTCCCCTTGAGTTGGAAACCGTAGGCTAGCAGCCAGGCCTGCAGCATGACACAGCCGAGATCCGCCAGCTCCGGGAAGAGCTCTTTGTTCTTCCCCATCTCCTCCTCGTACAGCTCGGCATGGACAAGGACACCTTGCCCGTCTTCAGACCACTGCGGTGAACACAGGGGACAGCACTCATAAGTGATGCTCCTGTTGTGCCAGTCCCTGCACCTGCTTCCGTCAGGCCCTGCCATGGATGACCCTGCCACCGTGGCTTGGACCCTTTGTTGGCCATTAAAAAGCGCCTGGATTTAGGGTTTTACACCCAACGTGGCCCCGCGCTCTTGGAGGCAAGCCAGGCTGGCTGGCGAGCAGGAGCAACCCACTGCAGTGGCTGTCTGTTGTGGGTGGGATGGCAAGGCTGCGTGGCCCCGCGAGTCCCACTGGCCATCCTGGGGCTCTGGTTGCCACCTTGTCCCCTCATCACCCACAGTGCAAGGCCCTGAGCAGCTGGGGACACCCTCGAGCATGCTACCAGTTCAGAAAACTGATCTACAAGGAGTTGGCTGGAAATTATTCAGCTGCCATTTCATGCAGCTTAACTAGAAGCTCGGGGATAACTATCTTGGGTCATTTAATCTCAGTTTGAGAAAGACTTGGGGGTAACACCATGCCTTTTGTTTCTGGGTAGTGGACCCAGCCCCAAGGGCATCCACCCTCTGTAGAAAGGAGCTTTTCTTA